GGGTGCATTGCAGGGTGGGGAGGGGGAGCAGCCCAGAGTCCACGTAGAGCTCAAAGGCCAGGTTGGGGGGACGACGTGGACTCCGGAGGGGGTCATCCCAGAGACCGGAAGGGGGGTGGCTCCGCGCGGCAGAGCTTGGGGGTGTGCGGGGAGAGCTCAGAGGGTTGAGGGACGTGGACTACGGGAGGCGGGGAGGATTGTGGGGGCCAGAGACCAGAAGACTAGAGACCTGGGGGCCTCCACGCAGTGGGACAGGAATGGGGTTAGAGCTCAGAGGCACAGGCCGGGCGAAGGGGCTGCCTTCAGCGGAAGGTACAGTCCGCGGGTGGGGGGAGCCCAGAGGCACAGCTTTCAGTGCGCAGTGGGAGCTCCGCTTTGCTGGGCGCCTCGGGAGGGCGTTTCCAGCTCCTCCAAGTGGGGTCGGACTCTTGGCTACCCGGGATCCAGGAAAACGGAGAAACTCGGCAAGGCAGGGTTACACATGAGAGAGGGTTCGCACAGCTACACACATACTAACACTCTCCCGCGCCCACACCCCTGCTCGCCGCAGAGCTAGTTCCGTGGGGCGGGAGGCGCTGGGAGCGCCCTTTGGGTCTGCGGAGAAGTCTGAGCGGCGTCTGGGGCAGCAGCACCACGAGCCGGCCGGAAGGGCTGGGATCAAGCGGCGGCCTCTTTTGGTCAGGGGGTGCTTCCCGGGGCCCAGACTGGCCTTTGAGCCGCACCCGGCCTCGCAGGGTTTCCACGGTGGCGAGCCTGTCCCCTCCTGGCTGCGCGGAGCCGGCCGTGCGCGCCGCGCGCAAAGTGCGCACCGGGCCACCGGCGCAGCCAGGTGGGTCCGCGGCGCTGGCAGGAGCCCCGGGGCGCAGCTACCCCGTCCGCGGCCGGTTGAGGGAAATGGGCTCCCTGACCTTTCCCCTAAGCCAAGGAGGGCGGAAGTCAGTTTAGGTCTCCTACTTCCGAACTCTTCAAATAAGCAATCAATTTTTATGATGTAATTTATAATTTATGCAGGTTGTCTTCATACATATGGTGTTGCTTTTGTGCGTCGGGGTTTCAGGTGCTTTATTACTCTGACTGTGATTTGCATTCATGTTCGGTTACCAAGATCATATTTCTCCTGTTTACACCATAAGGGCCCGAAATGAAGATGAATGCTTTCTCCCTTCCCCCGGGCAACTCGTGGTAGACCCCAGACCGTGGCTCCCCCACTAGACCCCACAGCCCGGCTACCCCAGAGGCCCGGCGCCGAGCTCGTGGGAAGGAGGCCCCGCCGCGCCATGGCGGTCCGGGAAGCTTCGGCACGACAGGGGCCACCAGCAGGCCACCTGCTCGTGTTGTGCGCGTCTCAGCAGAGGCCTAGAGTCTGCCGGGACGGAAATAGGGGCGCGTTCCCCGGAGCCTCCTTCCGAGGGAGAAAGTCTCCTGCAAACCAGAGGGGAGGGCGCCGAGGTCGACTCTGCCTCCAGGGCCGCCGAATGCCTGCGCTCCAGCCTCTCGGGACGGCCACAGGGAGCTGGGAAGGGCCGAAGGCGAGAAGCAAGTGGTAACCAGAGGCTGAGGCCCACCAGAGTGTCGCTCCCGGCTTCCTGCGCACCCAGAACCCCCTGCCAAGGGGGACAGCGCGAGGTTCCACTTGGGACAGGCCAGGAGCCGGAGACAGCAGCCATGGAGGTCCTGTGCGAGGCTTGCCAGACAGTGCTGAAATGATTAAGCCAATTAAGCTCGAACAAACAATCGCAAGAAGCAGCGGGCGCTGACCCCGAGGGAGAGGGCGTCTTGGAATGCCGGTGCTCGGCCATCTCCACACCGAGTGGGGACGGCTCGGCGCGTAGACAACCACGGAGTTGGGATGGTCCTGCAAGGCAAACCCAGTCTCGAGACGGCCTAGAGGGCCCCACCGCATCCCATTTAGCTGAAAAGGCCCTGCGGAAGAATAATCCTGGGCGCTGAAGACTGGGAGGCGAAAGCTGAGCGTAGAAGCATGCACTTAGTCTCGAAAATTCCAACCTGCATTGGGGTTGGGGAAGGTCCAAGCGCTGGTGGCCCAGGCCGCTCCGAGGATACCCCCAGCCACTGCGGGGAGCTGGAGGAGGAGGTTGCCTGATGCCCAAGACCAGTCTAAAGGGGACCCTGCGCCGGGAACCTGGAAATGTGGCTGCGGATTTTCAAAGTACCCTCGGTTTTCCAAAGGGTGGGGGGCACCCGGCTCCCCAGGGAGCTAGGGCAGGTGGTCGCCTGGTCGGTGGCTGTTCCTGCGGCCCCCCTCGGACCCCTGCCTGGGTTGGTGGACGTGGGGTGCCTGCAGCCCCGAGGCTCCCTCGCACTCTGCAGGGGGGTTTGGGGGGGGGGGCGTAGGTCCACGGTGCTCCTAAGCGTAATTATTTGATCTGCAGATGTAAGTGGAATTTATTGTAACAACAAATATAGTGATGTCAAAACCCAACCTTGGATTAAAGCCGGCAGCCAAAGGGGAAGTGTATTAATTTCCAACAGCATCTCAGGCCAGAGCCTATTAGAACAAGCTATTCTTCAGGCCCCCCCATCAGAATTAATCATTGGGAGTTAATTTGAAGCTCAGACAAGTTGCTGTTAATTTAGTGCAGGGAGGACGGGATGGAATAAAAAGCAGAGGTGCTGGCCGAGCCTCGTGGGTCTCATTAATCAGCCAGCTGAGACGGCCTGGCTTGATTACAATTTGCAAAAAAATTCATTAGGGCCCGGGCGATTGACAATTTTTCTCTCTGCCTGTGATGTGACTCATTAGGCAGCCAAATGAAAGCCATGATGACGGCCATGATGACAGCGGCCATCAAGCCCCGCTTGTTTATCTTCCTCCCCTCGGCCTGTCTCTCGGGCGATGGCCTCCGCGCCGGGCTCTCGGGGGCGACCTGGCCTTCAGAGGTTGGGGATGAGAGGGGCAGCGTCCTCAGAGGGCAGGGGGCCCGCGGTGGCGCCGCGTCCGCGGGGCTGGGGGAGCCCCCGGCCCTCTCCTGGCGCTTCTCCAGGGTGAGGACATCCCCGGGAGGGCCAGGGAGCTTGGGCCCCGGGTGGGGCTCCCTGAAGGCGGCCCCCATCCCTGGGGAGGTTCACTTTCCAGAAGGGTTTGTGTAGCCAAGGCTCCGGGTCCCTCTGTGCCTTGCATCCCTACCATGGGCTTTTGGCGAAGGGGGTGGGTGGGGAGGGGTCACACCTGTTATGGTGGAAGGTTATGTGGAGAGGGCACTCCAGGGTCTGCGGGGAGGGCCCTGCTCTCTGTACCCAGGGTTCCTCCCCCAGACCTGGGGTGCCGGGTGGGGGCGCCCCCGCCCGCGAGGCCGCAGCTCCCCACGTCCTCGGCCAGGACTCCGCGCCGCCAGTCACAGTTCCGCCCGGGGGCCCATATCCAGTCCGGGGACTGACTGGCCCAGGTGTGGGGGGTGGGGATGGTGGCGGTGGAGGCGGCGTCTCCGTGGGCCTTGAATATCGCGGTAGCGACGTGTGGCCAGTGAGGTCCTGCCCCGAGCAGATGACGCCAACCGGCGACCCGAGTGTGCTCACCGGTCTGCCACTGGCGGGATCCGGGGGAGCGGCCGGGCCTTGCGGACCTTGAGCCGGGGCCGGGGGAGGCCCCGATGCACCCTCCACCGCTGGCCCCGGGGCGCTGGATGTGGGGGCAGCAAGGAGCTCCCGCAGCTCTCCTCGCCCTGCAGAGCCGGCTGAGGCCCTCGGAGGCCGGCGACTCCATTTTATGGTGCTCAAAACCCAAGTCTGGGCCATTTTCCGCCACTGAGAATCTTGAGAATGCGGCGGGAAACGGCGACTCGGTCGCGCCCGTCCCTCACCTTGAGCCTGATGTTGGGGCGGAGGCCTCGGTCCCCATGCGCCTCCGCCGTGGGGAGGTACGGGTTCTAAGCCGTATAAATGAAGTCAATATTAGTATTGACTCATGGCGACACGTTTCCCCTTCTTGGGCTGAAAACCGCTGTGGGTGCCGCGCGCGGCGGCTTCGCAACCCGCTCCCCGGCCCCCATTCGGAAGGCCGAGGTTGGCGAAGCCACCTGCTTCTCTTCGCTCTTCGGGCTGCTGGTTTGATGGCCGAAAGGGCTCTGGCACCACGCTCGCTCACCCTCGCTCGCCCGCTCCACGCCCCTGGGGCACCCCTGGACTGTCCACGGCCACCTCCGGTGGGCCTGACCTCTCGGGTCTGGCCGGGCGCTTTGGGGTCGGGAAAGGAGCCCGCAGAATGGGCCGGGCTTGGGGGCTGAGGACCCGGGGGTAGGGGGCAGTGGGATTGGGGATTGGAGCACGCCCCTCCCGCGCTCTGTTGGTAGTCCCACCGAGGCGGGGAGGTGCCCAGCTCCCTAGCATCCTCGCGGACGGGCCCCCAACGGGCTGGCGTCGCCCCCCCGCCCGCCCGCCCTCCCGCCCCATTCCCCGCTTTGTGCAGCTGACCACCCGGGCGCCCTTGGGGTGGGGCGGTGGTCCGGTCCCGCCTCCCTCCGACCCCGCCCGGAGAGGGAGGTGCCCGGCCCGCCGGCGCTCCCAGCCCCCTTCCGCCTGCGATCTGAGCGCTGCCGGGGAGCCTTGTGCGGCTGGCTGGGTTTCTCGACAGTCGGAAGATAACGCGCCGGAGCCCGATGGACCGGCGCTCGGCCCTGCTCGGCGAGCGAGCACCGCTTTTGGGGGCTGTTTGTAACGAGACGCGTGTCCTCTGTGGCTGTGGTCGATTCAGAGTGTCAGGAGTTTGTGCAAAGCCACCAGTACCCGCACTCACTTCCCAGCCTGCGGGCGCCCGGCGCCTCCTGTGGCTGAAGTTTGCCAGCCTCCTGGCTATCGATTAGGTTGCGCAAAGGGGGAGACGTTAGATTTCTAAGGTGAAAATTAGGTTTTCTTAAATGTATAACCCAACTGGAGCTCTTGCTCTCCAGTGAAAAACCTAGTCAAGGGCAGTGTGGCTGGCTGCTGTCCAGCCAGCCTGGGGAGGCCTGGACGGGGGACGTTTGTCCAGTATTGGTCTCAGTCCAGCTGCCTGACCACACTCTGATAGAGCCCCTTAAACAGCCCAGTCTGGACACACGTATGAGACCCAGGATTGGTCTTTTTTTTTTTTTCTCTTTCTCTCTCTCTCTCCTTTTTTATTATTCACAAGACTGAGATTGTTTAAATGTCATAACTTATAAGAAAATAAGCTACATTGAAATAAATTAAACACAACGGAGACGTGCTTCAGACATGGCTCAGATAGGGTCTGCAACCCCAGGAAAGAGGCCAGGGAAAGCCAAAGCAAAGCAAATTTCCAGGCTGCCCCAAATGCCTGCTTTTCAGTCAACTAAAAAAGCCAGAATAGAAAGCAAAATAAGTTTAAACCCCAGTGGGTGTGGTGATGTCATGTTACCTTTGGAAAAGTATGGAAAGGTGGCTGGTATGCGTGGCAGATTTACAGCAGAGGTTTTGTTTTCTTCTGGAATATGAGTGGAGAACATTACTGGGTAGTTTGGTCCTATAACTCAAAATACTGCAGCTGCGATCCAGTCTATATAGATATCTATGTACAAAGTAGGATAGTATAATAAATATTTAGTGTGTCTTCAGGTGTAGCTGGAACCCCTTCAAAAGCAGTCTTTTAAGCCTGTTTCAAGAATATACTCTCAATTTGCTTGGGATGTCCAAAGTTGGGGGGGTGACTGAGTTTGGCTTCAAACATGGGGGAGGTCCACCATGGGTTCCCTCCAGCCCTGCGGCTTCTCCACGGTGGGCCAGGCCCTGGCCCTCCTTGGGCCCTCAGGGCCTGGCCTGTTCCAGCTGCTGATGCTGACTTCTGATAGCAAACCTGCTGACATGGACGGGGATGGGGACGACGATCTTGGGGTTCCGAGAGGGCTCCCCTGTCTTGGAATTGGCATTGCCGGCCTTCACCCGTTTCCACTTGGCCCGGCGGTTCTGGAACCAGATTTTCACCTGGACCTCGCTGAGTTTGAGGGCGTGGGCGATCTGCGAGCGCTCGGTCAGCGAGAGGTACTTTTTGCAGTGGAACTCCTTCTCCAGCTCCAGCAGCTGCTCGCTGGTGAAGGCAGTCCGCCGCCGCCGGTTCTTGCCCGTGGACGTGGTGCTGCCCGCGGCGCCGCCGCTCGGCGGGGTCTCTTCCAGCGCATGGCCGGGGTCTTCCTCCTTGTGAGCCGCCTGGCCCGTCAGATTGTCATCCGAGCTGTAGTCCAGATCGCTCTCCAGCGAGAAACTCTCCTCCTTGCCCTTCGGGTCGTCTTCCACCTTTGACTCGTCTTTCCCTTGCCCTCTGACAGCCCCGGCTGCAAGCAAAACCAAACGGCGTTTTATTACATTTCGCACACTGGCCTTCCTCTCCCCTTCCCACCGTCACTTGGGCATTTTCCCTTCTTAGGGGATTGTCTTTCTATGACATTAACACATTGTGATTTCCTGGCCTTTGAGGGGTAGAGAAGGGGGAGCGTGAGAAAGCTCAAAAGAGAGGAGGAAACAGTACAGGCGACGGCCCTTTGCCCAGAACCATCACTCAAGTGGCGGCCAGGCCTCCCCTGCACCCTCCCAGCCTCCTGCAGCCTAAAGCAGAAGTAACAGGAGGCAGGAGGCCCAGGAGTGCGCCCTTCTTTGTCCCGGGGGCAGGGGCTGGGTGAGGACTGAAGTGGAGTTCACGATCCATCTTGCCCACTCCCCCCCTTCCCCAGTGAAAATTTAGTAAGCCTCCGTTTCATCACAGCCAGAGTGAGGGGGAGGGAGGGGCAGATCCCAGACCGTGTCTTTTTTTGAGACAGATTATGTTGATCCAAGGGAAGTTTCATAGCCTTAGGAGAAGTTGCCACCAGACACCCCAACACACACACACACACGCAGTCGCGCAGCCTCCCAGGAATCCGATTCTCGAAGGCAAGCAGCAAGCCCAGTGAAGGGGCTTAAGAGGTCTGGGCGCCCCTGGGCACATGCACGACTGAGACGCACATCTCAACCCGCCTCCCCTTAAGGCTCACACCTACCCGGGCCCCCAGGTCACGGCGCGGGGCTGGGTCGGGGGTAGACTCGGTCCAACTCGCGGCCAGATTTGCCACCCTGAGTGGCAGCTGGCTGGGGGCGCAAACTGCCACCCCTCACACCCAGAGACCGTGCTTGTTGCGTGGCTCTAAATGCTCCCCGGAGGCCCCGCGGCGCAGCTCGGCCGCGTCCCCCAGCTCCCCAGGCGGGGGGAGCTTGGGCTTGGGCTCGGCCTCGCCCCCTCGGCCCCGGCGGGAACCCGGAGCTGGCTCGTCCCCGCCTCCTCCCTCCCTCCCGCCCGGGTGGCGCGCGCCGCCGACTCACCGAGCGACGCCTGCACCGCCTCGGCCGCGGAGAAGGCGAGCAGCGAGCCCTCCTTGGCCAGGAAGCCTTTGCCGTCCTCAGCGTCGGCTTGCAGCGCCTCCGCCTTGTCGAAGTTGCCGCCGCCCGGCAGCGGCTGCGGCGCGAACTTGCGGGCGGCCGCCGCCTCCTGGTGCTGGGGAGACGCGGAGAAGCCGCCGGGCAGCGTGGCCATGAGCGTGGAGGTGAGCGCCATGCCCTGCGCCAAGCTGGAACAGAAGCCGGTGGGCAGGCTGGGGATCTGGTGGTGAGGGTGCGCGGGCGGAAGCGCGGGCTGCAGCGCGGCCTGGGGCAGCGCGGGCGGTGGCGGCGGCGGCGGCGGCAGCACCACCGGCCGGTAGGGCATGAACATGGGGTAGCCGGTGTAGACGAAATGGCCGGGGCTGGGCTGCGGCGGGCTGCCGATCAGCGAGTCTATGCTGAAGGCGGTACTACTCCCCAGCGGGCGCTGCATCATCATCAGCGACGGCGGGAACGCTGCGCTCATAGACGCGCTCGGGAGAGGCCAGCGAGAGGCGAAAAGTCCCCGCGCTGCGCCGCCGCCAGGAAGCCCGCCGGGAGCCGGGAGTACAGCTAGGTGCGCCGGGTAGGGGCCGAGCGGGTCCCCGAGAGCAGACGCCGCCGCCCCTCAGTCCTGGGCCCGCTGCATGCCGGGCGGGTGCGGGTGCGGACGCTGAGCGGGGTGAGGCCGTGCACCCGGGAGTGGAGAGGGCGCCCGGGCCCCGCGGGCTCGCTGGAGCCGCTGCTCTCCGCTTGCCCGTCGGAGCCCGCGCGCGTCGCGTCCGCGGCCCTCTGCCCCGGATCCCAGCTGTCTGTGCGTCCGTCTGTCCGTCCTGCAGTCCGTATCCTCCCGCGGGCCGCCGGGGAGCGCGCGAAGCTGGCGCACTTGTCTTCGGCGGGCGCCGCCAGCACCTTTAAATCGCGCTCCTCTTTCTCATTCACATTTTGCCTGCTGCCTGGCCGGGCTCGCCTCACGTGGGGCCGGGCGCCGCTGCCTATTGGCTGCGCCAGGACGGGGCGGGGCGAAAGCGGGGCTCCGCCCTTCCACCAGGGCTGGCTGCAGACCAGCTGCGGGCGCCACCGGCGGAGCGCGCGGGCAGGAGAGCCAGAGCCGGTGCTACCCGCCCGCGCCGCGCAAACTTGAAAGGCCCGGTTGGCAGCTCCCAGGCTCGAACCCCGAGGCCCGGCAGCCTCGTCGAGGGCGCCTCCAAGAGCAGCTTCCGGGGCTAGGGCGCGCCGCGGCTGGGCCGAGGGCTTTCCATTTCTTGTACATGTGCATTGGAACAAACCTGTCCTCGGCTCACCCTAGCGCTGGGTGCTGCGGCTGCGCCAGGGGTCCGGGCAAGGTTCCCAGAGTTGGGGGCAGGGTCCTGCCCCTCCAGATCCTCCCCTAGCGCGCTGGCCGGGAGCTGGCAGCCCCTGCCCACCGCGGGGAACCCTCCGGGTTGTACGCTGCGCCCTCCGCGCTCCCGGCAGGGCGGGGAGGCTGCTGGTTCCCCCATTCCAAGCTGGGCCCTCCCGTGAGCGATCCCTTCTCATTTTTCATGACATCCTTAATCATCGCACCTATTTACACACTTTGCCTGCGCGCACCAAAATAACAGCCACGATAATTATGATAATAAAGCGAGTCCTTTCTCTGCTCCATCCTCGGGGAGGAAAGGGGGGAGTTGCTGAGCCTCCAGATTGTATAACGTGAGATTATCCTGATGAAAGCTTTATGATGTTTGCTCAAATAAAAGCTGCGTTTTGTAAATAGGCGCTAATTAAGCACGTTGAGAACGGAGGGAGCGCTCACCCCGGCGCCGCCGCCCGGTTTCCAGCGCGAGGACTCGAGGGCGCGCGGTTCCGCTTTGCCTGCTGCGGGATGGAGCCGACTCCCTCAAGATGTTTCCCCTGTCTCGACAATGGTAAAACCCCAGAATCTGGGAGTAAGGGAATTGGCGGGGAGGGGGTGGGGCCTAGGAATGTTCTTATCCCCTTCTCCATGATAAAGACAAAAACTTTGAGCTCTTATCTTCCCTTTAAAAATGGGATCATTTCGTGGCACGGGCAGACCGTGCTAAGCGCGCCAGCGCGCGCGGGGCTTCCACGCGCCTCCAGGGCCTCGGCTCCAACTTCCCAGGTCTAGACGATCGCCCGGAACAGCCGACAAGCACGGGGCTCCGGAGAGAGCAGAGAAGGGCATTGTTACATCGGTCATTAAAAATCAGCTCACGCCGCGGAGCTAGTGGTTGGGGAGTTGGCCCGTGTTGGACGTGTGTTATGTATCACTTACAAGCGCATTTAATTGGGAGATAAAGATAAATCGATCTTTATGAATTTATCGACCCGATTCTTTGAAGCTCTTCTTTCTCGCTCTTCTTCTTTCTTGCGCTCTAACTCCAAGGCCCCCCGGGGGAACGTCTTAATTCCGGACCACCTCTTCAGCCAGGAGACTGGCCGCGGACCCACTGCCCACCCAACGGGCCCTGGAGGAGAAAGGGGAGGGTGCATCTTGGGCGCCCCGGAGTGCTGAGAAAACTCACTGGCCCCGCCGCCAGCCGCCCTCCGCCTCCTGCTCGCCTCTTTCCCCCGCCCCACCACCACCCGGACAAAGACGTCTCGAGCGCGTTTCCCCACTCCAGGCCGCGGTAATAGATGGCTCCAGCAGCAGGCGGTTTGAAAGGAATTCATTAGCACGCTGCCTGTATTGCCTCCGCTCCCTTCACGCCCAGACCCCGAGGTGGCTTAGGCGGTGTGAGAGGAAATGAATTCCCGTTGGGGTCCACGGGGAAGGAGGTGTCTGTGGGGTCTCTAAGCTCTGTCCTTCTTTCTCCACTCCTACAAAAGAGGAAAAGGAGAAGAAAAAAAAATCGAAGCCCAGGGCAAAAGGCTGATTTCTTTATGAGCATAATAAATACTCCCTCTTATTATGAAATAGTTACAGGCACACCGTCCCGGGCATAGTTACCTTGTTTTTTTGAATACTAAGAGAAAGCGTCGACTCCGTGCATGATTTGCGCTGCTCCTGCCGGGTGCCTTGCTGTTTGACACTGGCATGCCTGCGGAAGCTGTTACTCATTTTACCCAGGCAGGTTTGCCATCCACTTTGCTATTTCACCATAAAAATGTTGTTCTAGGGACTTCTGTCGCCTGATTACCCTCCAAGACACAGAGATTCCTTTGATTATTTTGGTGATAATTCCACATTTAAAGTTCAGCAAGAAGATTTAGGTCCGTTGAATTATAGCTACATTTGAAATAATTTGATGGCATATTATTTGCATCCATAAATTGCTGTGCAAAGTATTGACTGCAGGGGTTATAATACTAATCTTCTTTTATTAGTGAGTTCAGAGGATTCTCATCAATATGAATTTTATTTACTAGTGTGCTTTTTCTCGAATGCAACGCAGTAATATTTTCTCATCTAATGCTTAACTGCTTAGAAAACGACTGTTCACATCATAAAAGGATCCTTGTGTCTCGCCGTGATTAACAAGATTCATTTCGGGCACTTCAGCTACCTGCAAAGCGTTCAGAGCGTGGGGACTGCGGATAATAAAAGCCTTTGGAGTTTTTCCTCGGCTTCTTGGAGAGATTTATGGGCAGCAAGCGACAGGTACCTGGCTTAGCCATCCTTCGGATTCCCACCTGCTTAGCTGGGAACTGCCTCCAACTGCAGGGCCCTGGGTGACTCAGCTTGGCCCAGGCTGCGCGGGAAAACCACCAGGCACAGAGCTTTGCAACTCTGCTTTACCGGCCTCCCCTCCCTCTGACGAAGAAAAAGGAAGGACGCCTAAGATGGGAGATCTGGTCTTCCAACTCCAGTTAACTTCTGCAAACTTTTGTCCCCAGGAAACCTCCCACGGGATGAAGCTGGCCCAGTCCCTGGGCACTTTCCTCGGCTGGTGCCAAGCTGGTGTCAGGATAGTATTAAACCATTTACATCTGATGTCAGTGTAAGTGATGCTAATTAAGTTGTCCCCACGCTTCGGGGCTGTCCCAGTCAGCGTTTGCTTGCAGGTGTATGGGGACTGAGTGTAAAATGCTAAATGCACAAGCAAATGAATATTCATACAGCAAACTTGAGCTGGCCCGCGGAGTCCACCGGGAGCCTCGCGATCCCATGCTGCCACCAGGGACCGGGTCGCGGGTGGTCGTGGAGATGGGGCAGCCTGGTAGCTCCGGGTCTCTGTGGGTGCAGAGAAATCCGTGGGCCTAGCAGGCGGGGCGCTCCCGCCTGCCACCCTGTCCCAGGCAACGGGCTGGTTTCTCGGGCAACCGTGTTGTTTTTATTTATAGGGACTTTGAGTGGCCCGATCATTCGGTCATTGCCGCAGCTCTTGCTCCTGGCAATAGTTGGGAAATAGCTTGGGATGGGTTTTATTTATGGAAGGGCAATTGGGATTCACACTCAGCTAACCCAGCTCAGTCCCTCCCGAGCCCAAGATGCTTTTACAAAGGGATGCTTGTGTAAAATTCCCCATCAGACACACCAATTTGCAAGTAGCAGAAAGCATTGAAGCCTCATCTTTTTAAACTATTTTATTCAGCTTTTTTTTTTTTTTTAACTGAAAGCCCAAAATAGACTCCATGTGGTTCTAAGTGAAGTCAGCCCTTGGCTGGCTTTGAAATCGCTCCTGCAATTATGTAAAAGACCATTCACCAACAGGACGGAATTAAAAGGGATCTCGCCCGCTTCCCTTTCATTGCCAACCTCTCACGTTTGGCTTTTCAAAGCACTTCCAACACGATGTCTTTCTCCAGGACAAAAGGCAGAACAAAAAAAGTCCCCAAACTTGTAAATTGAACGTCAAGGGAACTTTAAACAATTTAAAGCCCATAAATAATGATAAAGGAGACTGGCAAAAAAGGCAAACCCATTCAATTAATAGAGTTTCCCAAGCAAAGATCAAGTGGTTTATAAAATAAAAGTCTTTGGTTTCATTATTCTGCTCCTTGACCATGCAGAAAGCAGGACAGGGGGTTTTTCTAAAGCGCCCTGAAGAAGAAACACTTTGCGGGACTCTGCGCGCCGCGACATTCTTATGGAGAAAGTTTTACTCTTTTGTCCCCCACCCTCAAAGTAGCAGAAACAAAACCGCAAACCAGAAACGTGAAAGGGAGGAGACTTTTTTTTTGCATTTCCCAAGGGGAGCTGGAAAATGTTCCCCGCAGGCCTGAGGCCGGGAACGCGACCCTTCACACCTGTGCAGCGCTCCCCAGGGAGAGCCGAGGAGCAGGCGGAGCCAAGGCCGTGTGGCCCGGGAGCCGAGCCCCCGTGATATTTGGGGGCCGGGGTGGAGGGGTCCTGCACCGTCCGGGAGCCCCCTGGACTGCGGGCGTGGACGCGCGAATGGCGCACGCAGGCGTCTGCTGCGAGCGCGTGGAGCCGGGGTTCCTCCGCACCCCGCGCCGGGCTCGGTTTTAGAGCTGGGGGCCCAGGCGTTCGAGGGCGCAGGCGGGGGTTCTAGTGCCTTTTCGGAATAGCCCGAGGGGTGGAGTTGGGGAGTTCTTGACCACTGGGGGTATTGGATCGCCCGGTGCCATCGTGCTCACCGCGCGTCTCCCGGGAGC